GCAGGTCATTTCCTCTCCTGATTAATAATCATCAAAAAGAATGTGCTGAAAGAAGTGGATATGTAAAAAATAATTGATAAATTTCCTGGAATAAAATGTAACTGATAAAAAAAAAACAGAAATGACAATACAATCTTTAGAAATACTGCAAGGTATTGGGGTGATTAGGATGGAAACCGCCCTCCGTACATTCATAGGGAGTGGGTACTATTAGGAGGTGTGGCCTTAATGGAGGAAGGGGTGGGCTTTGAGGTTTCAAATGCTCGAGTCAGGCCCAGTGTCATGTGCTTTCTCTCTCTTCCTGTTGCCTGTGGATCCAGATGTAGAGCTCTCAGCTCCTTCTCCAGCACCACGACAGCCTGCGCGCCACCATGATGATATGTACTAAACCTCTGAACTGTAAACCAGCCCTGGTTAAATGGTTTCCTTTATATGAGTTGCCGCAGTCATGGTGTCTCTTTAGAGCAATAGGAACCCTAACTAAGACAGAAGTTAAACACAGCCGTGTTTAAAGTTTGAGGTGCACAGATGCACAGTTGAGTTAAGTACATCTTAAAAGTACTGAGTGTTCAGAACTCCTCCCTCTCCGACCGGCTCACTTTGCGCCTCTACGGCCCAGGGTGGGCTGCTGGGCCCGTTTGTCCCTGCCCTGTGCTCAGGGGCATTTGTTGGTGGCTTGGAGCTGACAGCAAGGGGCGGGAGGGGGGTATTTTGTAATGTTACAAATTAGACTGGTTTATTGTATTGATTTACAGACCGGAGAAAGTGACCAGAACATACTTTAAAATGTTGGTTTAACTTCAAAGTGTGTCACACATTGTGGCTGTCCCATGGTGAATGACACAAAAACTATAATGCTACGATGTTGTTATTTATTTGTTTGTTTCTTAAAGCTGGCTTTTAGTTCACAGCCTTGATGAAGAGGATGGTGGTACCACCGAAGATATTAAAGTCAGTGCATCTACAGGACAGAAGCTCGCAGCCTTGAATAAGAGGATGGTGGTACCACTGTTTGAGGATATTAAAGTCAGTGTGTCTACAGCACAGAAGCTAAGCTTCATGCAGCCCCTTCCCAGCCCCTTACAAAGATCAAGGTGCTCTCTAGTCATGAAATATAAGGAAAATTTGCCTGCTAATCTTAGAGGACTTTCTGAACTGAGGACCTGACCAGATGCCAAGAGGTAAATATTCCTTTTGAAACAAAGAAGGCTGTCATAATGTCTGAGTGTGGCTTTCTAGAACTTATCTTGTAAATAGGTGATCTGCTTTTTTTGCCAAGGTGACGGTGGACAGCAAGGCTCAGTGGTAAGCAGACCCCAGTAATAAGGCAGCAGAAAGCCCGAGGCTACAGGAAGCTCAGACAGAGGGGCCCTGAGATGGAGCGTGGACTCTGGGCTCCAGACGACTGACATCTGACCTCCAGCTTGGCCCTTCGTTTTCTGCCTGCAACTTGCCCATGTTAGTCTGAATCTCAGAAGCCGTCAAATGTCCTACTGTCAATGAGGCTCAAGTCTAGAAGAGAGACGCCTGTGTGGTTCTCAGGCCAGAGAGAGCTGCTATCCATGCAGGGACAGAGGGAGCTGGCAGAGTTGCTGGGTTGGCATCAGCAGGCACAGGCCCAGGACAGTCAGAAGAAAGAGACAGCCTAGGAATTCAAAGTCTTATTGATCACTATCATCATTGATCACTGTCCCTGATACCAGTGATCACTACTACAGTGTCACTAGTGATACTGCCATTCTGTAATAGTGAAAGTAGTGTCCCTTGTATCAATACATTATCCAACTGTAGAAATAGTTCTTGCCACCCCTTCAGTATCTTCCCATGCCAACTGCCTCTGCTTCGTGTCTGACAGTAGAAACCACTAGAACTGAACTTACAGGGAGCCTTTGGTGGAGGGCACAGGAGAATTCCCTTTCCTTTCTTTTAAAGGTAGTTTTTGTTGATTCTTTAGCAATTACATACTTGTCTGTAATTCGTTTTGATCCTATTCACCCCTCCTGCCCTCCCATGCTCCCTCTGGAGCCCTTCCTCGTCCCGACACATCTGCTTCCTTCTTTAATGTCAGCGATTTATTTATCTGTTTATTCATCTGAGACAGGGTACTACTTGGTTGCCTTGTCTCAAGTCCCTGGATTCAAAGAATCCTCCTGCCTCCAGACAACTTGGAATACAGACCTGTGCCACTGTGCCCAAGTCTCAGACACATTTTCTTAGTAATAAAATGCAAGCTCTTTAAGGTTGTACCAAGTTAGACCTTCCTTTGCTTAGTCAGGCTTTTTTTTTTTTTGAAAAAAAAGAAAAAACAACCTCTGGCTCCCCTACTGTGTCCCAGATACTGAATTGCCGAATTAGTGGCCATTTGGTAAGTGAGGTGAGACTGTACAATTTGCTTGCTGGCTCTTCGACAGTTAAATGGGGTGTCAGGAACCGGGAAATGGCCAAAATAAACTAGGGGGCCAGGTACCAACTTAATTTTGCCGACTGAGAAGATTTTAAATCCCCAGCACCTGTCAGTGTTGATAACAGTCTCCTCTCACCAACATGGATTTTAGAATAAAGGGTAATCTTTTGAGGAAACCACTTCAGCTCCGTGAAAGCTTCACGTGGCTATTCCACCACAGATGGGTGCCAGTCACACAGACACTGGTTCAGAAGTATTCTAGGACACCAGCTTAAGGCATGGGGCGTTGTCTAGGGATGTGTGGCCTGAGATAAAGTCCACGCCTTTTCCTAACTATCTGGGAAGTAGACTCAAAAGAGAACTATGGCCCTTTGTCTCCGCAAAAGGAATTCTTGGGAAAGGGGGAACAGACCTGCTTGCTTTGAACAGGGTTTGTGTGTCAGCCAGCCAACCTAAGCTCTGTCCTGCTCTGAGGTGTCCCTGAGTGTCGGGGTGTCCCCCTTTTAAGAGGGAGGAAACTTGCAAAGTAAATCAGGTTTGTTCCATGGGGTGAATGGCCATTTTTCTTGGCCCAAGAAATTCCGTGTCTGTTTGTAATTTTCGTTCTTGGAACGCCGTCCCCAGGGGACCAGGAAGAAGGCCAACGAAGCTGAAGTATGCTCCCTTAGAGCTTGGGCTTGCTCCCTGGCTCCGTGAAACAGAATGTCTGCCCTGTTCCAGCCCTCCCAATGCAATTCCTAGACTCCAGCAATGGCGCAGGTACCTGAGCAGGGAACAGGCAGGCACAGGTACCCCGATCAGCTTCTGAGAGCAGACATACAAATCCAAAGCCCACACTGCCACAGATGAAAGAGGGTTCCTGTCAGAAAATACCCGGACAGAAGACTTTGACTTCTTTCGGTTAAGAAGAGTTTTAAAATCTATTTTAAGATGGACAACAGTGGAGTGCACCTATAATTCCAGCACTCCGGAGGCAGAGGCAGGTGGTTCTCTCTGAGTTCAAGGCCAGCCTGGTGTATAGAGTGTGGTCCAGGAAAAACAGAGCTACACAGAGAAATTCTGTCTGGAACAACAATTTTAAATACTGTGGGCTAGAGAGGCGGCTCAGGGGTTGAGAGAACACGCTGCTCTCGCACAGGACCCAAATTCTGTTTCTAGCACTTACATGAGGTGGCTCACAACTACCCAGAAATCAGGTTCAGAAGAAGCCCATGCCTCTGGCTTCTGTGGGCACCTGCATTCACACGCACATACCCACACACAGACAATCCCCTCCACACACACATAAGCAAACAATAAGGGGCTGGAAATGTGCTCAACCATTAAGAGCACTGGCTGCTCTTGCAGAGGACCAAGGTCAGTTCCCAACCAGGGGGCACTTCCCCGCTGTCTGTAAAGTCAGTACCAGGGGATCCAGAGCCCTCTTCTGGCCTCTAAAGGCCTGGCACACACACAGTGCACAGGCATTCAGGCGAACACTCATACAAGTTAAATAAAATCTCAAAAAAGCTAAAGCAAATAAACCTCAGGTAATTTTGAATAGCCAGCCTTTCCCCTATGACTGTCTTTTTCCCTCTTTCTGGCGTTTGGAAGGACTGAGAAGATGGAAGGAATAAAGGTTGAATTCATTTCCCGCTCTTCCACAAGCCCTTTCTGCTGACCTGGAATAATCTCCACACATTTTCCTAATGCCTGGGAGTTAATTGCCGATTTGCATTTTGGTTGCAGTATCTGGGCCTCAGGATGGAAACGCCAGATTTGTTTCCAGAGAAATAGGTGGAAGACAGCTACTAGAGCTCTCCCCTGAAAGCCTGAAGGCCTGCAGAGGACAAGCCTGACACTCTTTTCTCTGTTTCCCTCGAGTATCCAGTCCCTTCATGATCTGTCATAACACAGGGGCTGGCCGCTGGGTTTGGGCTGGGTTATAGGATTGGGATCACATCATCAAACCTGGCCCCATCCACAGCCTCACCATATTGTTAGTCCTTATGATAATCTCAGGATCCTGATGGCCATGGATCTGCCTCTCTGTAGCCAAACTTGACAGCAATATCTTTTTAAAGCAGGAAATGATAATGGACACCCTAGCATCCCTTGCTAAGCCTCTGTCTGGGGAGCCTTTTCTGCATCCTCTGACATTGGCCTGCTCACAGCCTTACTTTAAATGTCTTAAGAATATCATTGGCTTCTGCGAAGGCAGATGGAAAGTTCTAGAAGTGGCTTCAGGAACCACCCTGGTGCATATAGACAGGGGAGAGGTGAGTGTTTGGAACTCTCATGTAGATGTAAGTTTAAGAACGCCTGTTTATTAACAGCCTAAAATCTGCTTGCCCTATAACTTCCTCTTCTGATGTGATTCGCTTTCTCCACTTGTTAAAAAAGAAAAAAAAGAAAAGAGCACGCAAGAGCACGCATCGTGTGCTGTGCTGTCACAATCGGTGAAACCTTGTCTGTCACATGCTGCACTGAGAAACTTATTTCCTAGCCTGTGTTTACCCAGGCTCCTGCCTTCCATAACCTTTTGCATCAGGCTCTGCCCAATCCACCAGTGTCCCAGCCCAAGACGACTGAAGAGAAGGAGATGGCGGAGGCGTACCTTGTACCTGGGTTTCCGCCCTCTCTTCTTCGGGATCGTCACTGCCGGTACAGAGCCCGCAGACGCAGAATAAAGATTATGGACTGCCATCTGCACTGGTGTGGAGTGAAGGGGAGGCCGGCCACGCTTCCTCCCTGGGACCTTCTGTGTCTGCATCTCTGCTGGTGCCAGTCTTGCTGGATGAGGAGGCAAAGCACACGTGCAAGAGAGGTCCTGGGAATCAGTCCAGAGAGAAAGCAAAAACAAAAACAGCAATGTCTGTTTGGTTTTCAGAGCACATAGCCCTATCTGTGCATACCTACCACTTACGGGAGCAAGACAGGATGCATGGAAGAGAGACAGGCACCAATAGGCTGCCATTCTGCAGGAGACGATAGATCCCTGGGTCCAGACACACCCGATACTGTCATCAGCAACCGAATGCTTTCATGTCTTAATTCAATTTTGGACTAACAAAGTAGTATTACAATAGTATTTAAATACTATACACGGCATTTCTATCTTTATAATGTTTAATGTTAAATCAATATAATATATTGTATTTAATATCATTGTATTCATAAACTCATCCATTCCCTCCCATATTTAACCTTCATTCTTTGGTTTAGTTACAAATTGTCTTCACCTCTTTTTCTCTTGAAAGGAATTTAACAATACAAGTTACTTTCATTAAAGCATGACATCCTTTAAGGGTTTGCAGACAGAAATGTTCATTTTGACAATATTTAGAACTGCAGAAATAAAATAGATACAACTCAAATAACAATGCATAAGGGAACAGCTAAAACATCTGCAGACTAAGACTGTCAACTGGCTTAAAGCCTTTAGCAGCGTATTCTGCATAACATGATGCTGGGTGCCACATAAAGACAATCTCAATTATGCAAAAATTTACAAGGTAAAATAAATGGAAGGAGGCCACTAAAGGTCACCTAGAATAAGATGGCCAGACTGTGGGCAACTGTTCACAACACACAGTCCTTTGTACACAGCCGACAATATTACTCACAAATTGCTCAGGTAGAATTTCATTTGTCTTGAAGCCCAAGGTCGCTGATCAACCTTGACCAGAGAACCGAGGAATTGGAAACTCAGATATCCTGGCATGGTCAGGAATGTGTTGAGTGGAGCAGAGCTTTAGACTTTAACTCAGAGGCAATGTTGGGTGGTGAAATCCACTTCTACACTATAGTGGAACCTTCCAGAACCTTCCAGTGGAAACGAGAATCTTTTGCTGACAAATCTGTAGGTGTTAGGACAGAAGCTTTGCCATGCCTTGGTGGGGTTAGCAACGCAGGCACTTGATTGCTTTACTTGGGGAATAAAAAGTAAAGCACTAGAAATTCTTTTAAAACACAGTAGGGGAAGTTTTTGGAAATACCATATTTGGTGGATAGATGTTTTCCAGGGTGGGGAATTGGACGTACAGTCCTGTATACACCATGCAGACACTTTACCAGCGAGCCGCTCTTCCAACTCTGTAAATAGAATTCTAAATAGAGATATTCTTATCTCACACGCTGTTGAGTGTTTCAGATAAGGAAACAAGCTCTTTCCCACAACGCCCACCTCGTGCACCTCACACCTGCCTGTAACTCCCCAGGCCACTTCTGGCTCTTGCAGGCACCGTACTCAGAAACACAAATCCTCATCCAGATACATATATATACACATCATTACAATTAAAGAAAAATAAAATAATTTACAGCAAAGAAGACATCGGTTTTCTTTGTTTCTGTATATTGATAAAAATATCCCATCTCACTGATTTAAGAGACTTTTTTTTTAAACGTATTAGCATTCCTGGAATAAAGTTGTCCCTATAGCACTTCAAGAAGATCAGAATTCCAAGATAGTAGGGAGTATCTTGTAAATTCTTAGTAAAGCATAAGATAATGACACATCTTGTAATTGACTCCATCTTAGAGTCAATGAATTGCGATCACTGTAGAAGAATTCATAACATGATCTATTTCTGGACTTGGCATTTATGCTCTTTGGCAGGGATAAAAATGTTCACTGGTACAAAAGCAGCCAAAAGCACTGATGAGTCAACAAGAACCAACGAGATCTGGTTAGGCGGAAGTCAATCTCGTTCGACCTGCCATCACCAAATTTCTGCCCCTTCTTTATGAGTTATAAGAGATTAGAAACAGAAGTTTTTCTTATCGTAGAGGGTATTTCTGCACCTTTCTACTTTGCCCTTATTTTTAAGGTTTATTTTTGTTTGTTTAGCTTTGGTTTCAAGAGACAAGGTCTTTCTAAGCAGTCCAAGTTGTCCTCATGTCCCTTCTGCCTCTGTATCCTGAGTGCTGGGATTACAGCTGTGTACCGACATGCCTATCCTACTTGGCTTGAAGTATGGAGATTAACAATCTGTCTGGAGAATCATTGTCAAAGGAAAGCATGAGAAAATCTATGATTAAGGATGGAGGAGAAAGCCCAGTTGAGAAAGTATGCATCTTGCAAGGTAAGGATCTGGTCCCATGCCCAGAACAAGATAGACAGGCATAGTAGCTATGCTGGTAATCCTAGCTAGCATTGAGGAGGCAGAAACAGTGGATCTACCTGGTTGGCTCACTAGTTACATGCCTAACCTAACTAGTGAGCCCCAGGTTCCAAAGAGAGACCCCGTCTCAGAACTAAGGTGGACAGCACCTAAGAAAGACCATGGAGGTTAATATCCAGCCTTCACACTCCTCTGTAAACACACAGGCCCAAGCGTGTGCACGAGCACACACACATACTTAATAAATAAATACAATGCAATAATTTTAAGAGAAAATGAAGTTTAAAAGAATATGAATTAGAAACAAAGTTTCAAAAAGAAGTAAATCTAAAAAGAGTCTTTGACATACAAAAATTAAACTTAACTTTCCTTAAATTGTTTGATATAACAAAAATCTTCCCTAGAAAAAAGAACCTATCAGTTCAACCTATTTCTTTCCCCCTGACATCTGCTTCCTTCTTCTTTTTAATGAGGAAAACCCATGCCTCACCCTGTATTCCACTTCTTGTCTTCCACAGAAGCACCAGTCTTGGGCGGTGTAAGAGCCCGGCCAAATAACTAGTCTGATACACAATGCTAATCCATCAACAGGAGCCATTGTTGATGGAGTGGTGGGTACCACAGGGAGGGGAGAGAAAGCCCGAGGCAAAAAGAATCCAAAGTTCCCTCACCCTAAGATGGACAGCACCTTGGAAAGCAATGATAGCAAGACACATGGAATCCTGTTAGGGGGAGCATAACTCTGGAAGACAGTGGTTAGGGGGAGCCGAACTCTGGAAGACAGTCTGTTAGGGGGAGCGGACCTCTGGAAGACAGTCTGTTAGGGGGAGGGGAACTCTGGAAGACAGTGTGTTAGGGGGAGCGGAACTCTGGAAGACAGTCTGTTAGGGGGAGCAGAACTCTGGAAGACAGTCTGTTGGGGGGGTCAGAACTCTGGAAGACAGTCTGTTGGGGGGGGGGCAGAACTCTGGAAGACAGTCTGTTGGTGGGGGGAGAACTCTGGAAGACAGTGTGTTAGGGGGAGCAGAACTCTGGAAGACAGTCTGTTGGGGGGGAGAACTCTGGAAGACAGTGTGTTAGGGGGAGCAGAACTCTGGAAGACAGTCTGTTGGGGGGGGCAGAACTCTGGAAGACAGTCTGTTGGGGGGGCAGAACTCTGGAAGACAGTGTGTTAGGGGGAGCAGAACTCTGGAAGACAGTCTGTTGGGGGGGGGAGAACTCTGGAAGACAGTGTGTTAGGGGGAGCAGAACTCTGGAAGACAGTGTGTTGGGGGGGCAGAACTCTGGAAGACAGTCTGTTGGGGGGGCAGAACTCTGGAAGACAGTGTGTTAGGGGGAGCAGAACTCTGGAAGACAGTCTGTTAGGGGAAGCAGAACTCTAGAAGACAGTCTGTTAGGGGGAGCAGAACTCTGGAAGACAGTCTGTTAGGGGGAGCAGAACTCTAGAAGACAGTCTGTTAGGGGGAGCAGAACTCTAGAAGACAGTCTGTTGGGGGGGCAGAACTCTGGAAGACAGTGTGTTAGGGGGAGCAGAACTCTGGAAGACAGTCTGTTAGGGGGAGCAGAACTCTGGAAGACAGTCTGTTAGGGGGAGCAGAACTCTGGAAGACAGACAGTAAAATGATATCATGCTTGAATAAAGGCTCAACATTGAGATATGTAATAAAGGGCTGTCATCTAGAAGGAAGAGTCACTCTGTGCCTTAAGCAAAATAAGAATAGTTGGGTGTAATTACGCATGCCTTTAATTCAAGCACTTGGGAGGCAGAAGCAGATGGATCTCTGCGAGTTCAACACTAGACTAGTCTGCCTAGTGAGTTCCAGGACAGCCAGGGCTATGTAGTAGGACCCTATCTCAAACAAGCAAACAAACAAAACATAAAAAAGAAAATAAAAACAAGAATGAACAAAAATTATAATGAAAACAGTATACTTAAAATTTACTAAGAAAAAAATCTGAAGAAAGTCCCAAAAACACATGGCCAGGGTGATTTGCAAATGTATTTATAACGGTGAAGTGCTGTAAACTGTCAAGACACCCTCAAAACAGCCTTGATTTGTATATTACTTCACACTCATAAGATGGAATATTTTGTGGTCTTAAGCATGTGTGTGGGGGGGGCATGTCTACAATGTTTGTATGGTTTTACGTGAGAATCTGCAGGGCTCGATCAGGTCTGAGAAAGAAAAGTCTCAAAAGGTGGGCGGTGGCTGTCCTTGGGAAGAAAGAAACTGAAGTGCGGTTTTCACTTCCTTTTGTAAGCCATTTTAAATTGTTTAAAGTTTTAATCAGAGACAAATATATAAATAGAAAAATAGGGTACGAACGAGTTTCGTTCTGAGCTCTCTTTCTGATACAGTCACTCTCTCCAAATAGCCGTTCACTTCCTTTTTTTTCTAACAATGTTGTTTGTAGCCTGAGCCTCTCGGCTCCACTGAGTGATGCTTTAATATCCCAAACAAAAGCAGTTAAAAGGAGTTGCTTTGGCCAAGGTTGAGAGCAACACTAGTCTGCTGGGGTACAAGTAGCCAGAAGACAGTTTGACTGCATGTCCATTCAGTAAAACACGAGAAGTGGGTTTCTCACTAGGGCTTCTGCTCAGTCATAGGCCTTGGCCAGTTTTACAGGGTTAGACACATATTCCCCCGTGAAGCCAGCC